TAAAGTGACAATTTCCAACGGAACGTCGTCATCCACTCCGTCTATCACTTCTTCTGTGGCTACATCCGCAACCAACCGGAATTCAGCGACAGGCACCGGGAACTTGGCATCTGTGGTCATTTCACCCCAACTTGCCACTCCTATACCCCCTGCGTTCACGTTACGGTAGGTGTTTGATTTGATATATTTATATTGATCTTATTTTGGCTTAAAGTGCACTTCCTGTTTCCAAGTAATGAACGTTACTTTTTCTACCAAAGCTCAGCATGGTGGACCATGTAGTCGTTTGTGCTGATTGATCCGTAGTCAGGAGCGGCTATCAAGACAGAGTAAACTACTAGTGCGGTTAACCCGCAAGGTATACGCGAACACATCTACAAGGAATACTAGTTCATTTCGAAATGACCATGACCGTCCAGTATTCTCATCGAGCCCAATTCAAGAACAGGCTGAAGTTAGCGGTAAAGACTGAGATCGACCGACGATTTTAAAATCTACACCCTTTTCGTAGCTCATCTCGCTCCCTTTTTATCACCATTTTAGCTGAGACCAAGAACAAGATGCGGTACGACGGTTGCTAAACATGCGCATCCCGATCAAAATCATTATTGGCTATCATCATAATAAGTTTTTCTTCGCAGTGTTATTCAACATGCCTGGTCTCTTAACTGCTCCACTCCACCACACTTAAAATTGGCTGATTTCCTTCACGATCAAACCCATTTTCTTACGGCTGCAACAGAAGATCAACTGCAATCTACTTCGTTATAAGTGACTCCTAGAATTCAGCTAAACATCGCTACAGTAAAAATCGACCAAACGTTCAGTGTTTAGTGTAGCCATTAGTGTTAGAAGCCAAAATCACTCTAGAATATCTCATTGCTGCTCATGTTTTAGTTGGCAAATGGGGGCACATACGCGTTTGTAAGAAAGTGAGAGTATGTACATCTTTGGTACCACAGCTACAATTAAACTGTTAAACAATTTTCCGACGTGTGCCCTTTAAAACAACCATTTCTACGTCCCAAAATTAATAACTACAATGAACACAGGATCACCTAATTCGACAAGCTGCAGTTATTCATTGCAAGAATGACTAACTAAGGAAACCAGTCAGCGATTATCGGTTTATTGAAGATAAAACTGGGTGCACTCGGCACAACCGTTGTGGATGAAATATTTCAAAGCCTGAAGCTTGTGACTGGTTTACACGGTGTCTACTATTCCAGTAGTAAAAGCAATCTGATAACCAATGACAACGCCGTACATATTATTATCGTTGTTGCTACTATCACAGCAAAACAAAAACTGATCTGCTGAGCTCAGAAAATGTAATGTTATATGAATGTTTCTGGTGCATCAGTTAACTGCACGAGCATCGCTAAATGGTGAATTTGTTGTTTGAGAATAAATCGTGCATAACTTACGGGGACCAGCGATCTCTCCGTATTCAGATCCACCAATGAGTGCTCGCACTTCAGCTTTCTCTGGATGTTTGTTCCGTGCAGCCATCCAGTTATCAGTAGCGCAGTAGCATCTTTTAGCGTCGATGTATACACTACTTACTGATCCTTATTATAAAATGTTCACTTCTACTGCACATAGTTGAAACACTGACGGTGAACTACGAAAGTGCGGATTAGGAATTGAGAGAGGCTACTCATGATCTTCACTGCTTTACAGTTTTGAAGCAGGATACTAACCAGTGGCTTATGTTCATATTGCTCTCACAGCACGTTTCTGAATATTCTAAGTAATATCTAGGGGATAAATTTGTTCAGTCGAACTTTGTTGCGCCAAAATCCCGATCTCGCCTACCTAAATATTCACGGGCGACAGATTTGTCACTAGCCCAGACATAAAGACATTCATTACTCGTGTTTTATCTCATAATTTACAGCATCCGCCATAAACGGATTTGGTTTAGTATTATTAAGAAGTTCCCAAAAGGCATATAGTGCCATCAAAAAATGAAATGCGAACAAATCTTTTTCAGTGAATTCAATTCCATGCTCGACAAATGCATGCCGAAATACAGGTACTGGAGTCGTCTTTGGTTTGATTTTGGCTCATCTCATAACACTCCATAAAGACTCAAGCGTAGTTTAGTGTTTCTGACATGAAGGGAGTTGTACCTTTACCGATTCTGCTGTCCGTTATTTTTCAAACGTGGAAACGGTCGAGACCGTCAGTATCCTTTTTAGGCAAATAGATTCGAGCACTTCAACCGAGAGCAAGTGTGGTGGTTATTAATGTATGTTCAACTATCTGGCCCTGTGACTGTTTCAACCGCTGTCCTATAACAAACCATCCATATCCTCCTCTCATCCCTTGGTGTTCATTCCCCACTGACCAACTAAGACTTCTCCATTTTAGACCGTCATCGTGCTTTGTGTTTAATGCATATAAACCAATTTGGAAATCAATTCGTTGTAACAAAAGTTTATTCTCATTCCACGTTTTCTTTGAGACGGCGAGGTTGTTTTATAGTATGTACTAAACATATTCAAACTGAATCGTAGTTGAAGAAAATCTGAGTTAATTTTGTGTGCCCATAATCCTGAAATGAGTGTCTTAATTCTCTTGTATTCCCCAAACCTAGATTCACTCCTCCGACTTCATTACACTGTGGTTCATTCACTTCTGCATCAAGTAACTCCCTGTTATTTGAGACTCCGGTCTTGAGTAGTCATCTGACTCCAACATCGCAACAGTCAGTTACTACGACTGCAAGTGTCACCAGTGGTATTGGAGCTAGTGCGTCGGTTAGTACAAGCCAATCAACTCTCAGCTCCACAAGCGCACCACCTGGTGTCAGTCTCCTCATGTCTTCTGGTTTGTGCCCAGCCCCACGGGTTCTCATACACAAATCTACCGGACTAACGCATCTCAATCCGGGTTTGGGTTCCGGCACCGGACTCTCAGAGCCATTCCCACTTACTCTGGTTACTACTCCTGTCAGAACGAATGATGCTGGGGTATCAACCGGACAGTTGAACGTGTGTGCCGTAACTGCCCCCACTTCCGATCAGACTAGTTCAACTGCCTCATCCGGAACTCCTGGACACTCACCTTTGAACACTCCAACAAAGGGTAAAGCAATCATGCAGGTTCTATCTTTCTTCTTCTATGATACTGCTTGAATACATTATTTCTCAATTTGTGGATACACATGTGTATATTCGGCCATACGCCACTATGTTTAAGGATAACCCATTCATAAATTAAGACCATATGGAGGAAGGACTATTCAATCTACCCTCATTTTTATGAACTGAACACGTCACCTTACTTTTATGTTGTTCGCTCATTGCACTTCTCGTACTTTCAACCATTGTAACTCGTTTATTGTGATAGGGTGAAACTTATTGGATAGCAGTTTTCCTTTTTCAGCAATTGACCGTTGGTAACATCTTTTATTCCCTTGAAATACCGCATGACATTAAAATACAGTCCAATAGACTGCTTAGAATAATGGTCACTCAAGTGACCACTAAACACAATTAGTCTACATATGAATAACGTTTTGTGTGCACAGTTCTGTTCTAGTGGTGCTATATAAATCGTTCTCAATCTTGTTTCCAGCTAAATTAGTGAGTTTGGCAACTCCTGTTTCTGCAAGCATGCGTCTTTTCACGACGGCAACCACCGTGCCTTATACATCCAAGGGTACTGGTGCAAGTGGCACTTACACGGCGTCAATCACAAATGCGTTTTCGAACTCCACTGTTATTTCACCGGTGAAAACTGGCTGTGGTGGTCTCT